GAGCTCAGGTGATTCACCTGCTGCAGCCTCCCCAAGTGCTGGGATTACAGGCAAGAGCCGCCGCACCTGGCCCGAAAGCTGTTATCAGCAAGCTCATTCAAACTTTTCCTAATAGTCCCGTAAAAATCCTGGGACATGAGATCAGTGTGTGTGTATTATGAAATAATCCCCGATTGATCTAGTCCACTGCTTTCTTTTGAGGCTTTTGGAAACTTTCAGCAATCTTCTGCTTCAAAAAAAAATCAACCAAATCTGTCAGTGATTTCAACACTTTTAAGTTTCAAGCTTTTTATCGGTCATAATTTTCTTGCTCCTCTGTTTTGGTTCATTTAGTCATTCCAATCCATTATTTCCAATGCATTCAATAAATTATTTATTTATTTTTTGTTTTTGGATGAAGTTTTTTTCTTGTTTCCAAGCCTGGAATGCACTGGCATGATCTCGGCTCACTGCAACCTCCACCTCCCAGATTCAAATGATTATCCTGCCTCAGCCTCCCAAGTAGCTGGGATTACAGGCATGCACTACCACACCTGTCTAATTTTTTGGTATTTTTAGTAGAGACGGGGCTTCATCATATTGATCAGGCTGGATGGTCTTGAACTCCTGACCTCGGGTGATCCACCCACCTCAGCCTCCCAAAGTGTTGGAATTACAGGCGTGAGCCACAGCGCCCGGTCTCATTCAATACATTTTTATAAATAACAGTTGATATAAAAATCCATGTCAATAACCAGGTATCAATCTGGAAAGTCTTTCTGGAAGAGGTGACATTCCACGAAGACTCCTTCTTAGGTACAAAGTGTGGGGGAAAGATTCCTGAATAATGTTGAAGAGGGAAACGATGCTAGCAGAGTCTCATGGGCAGCAGCAGTTATGAATTATGGAAGAGGAGAGGAGAGTTCAGAAGAATTGATGTGGGCTGGGCATGGCGGCTAACGCCTGTAATCCCAGCACTTTGAGAGGTTGAGACTGAAGGATCGCCTGAGTCCAGGAGTTTCAGATCAGCCTTGGCAACATAGCAAGACCTTGTCTCCACTGAGAGAGAGAGAGAGAGAGAGAGAGAGAGAGAGAGAGGGAGGGAGGGAGGGAGGGAGGGAGGGAGGGAGAGAGAGAGAGAGAGAGAGGAGAGAGAGAGAGAGAGAGTTGATGGGGCCAAATTACGCAGGCTTTGTAGAACAGGTTAGGAAGTTGGAATGTATGGTAAGGGCAGTAGGCGGAATTAAAGCAGGACACTGCTGTGATCTGAATTGCATTCTTTTTTTTTCTTTTTTTTTTTTTTTTTTGAGACGGAGTTTTGTTCTTGTTACCCAGAATGGAGTGCAATGGCGCAATCTGGGCTCACCGCAACTCCGCCTCCTGGGTTCAGGCAATTCTCCTGCCTCAGCCTCCCTAGTAGCTGGGATTACAGGCACACGCCACCATGCCCAGCTAATTTTTTTTTTTTTTTTTTTTTTTCTTTTTGCAAAATGCTTGCTGTTCTCCCTACTTGGAACACGCTCCCCGTCCCTTTTTTCTCAGTTAACTTGTGTCTGTCCTTTAAGTCTCAGCTAAAATATTCTCAGAGAGTGCCCAGTGGAAATTAGTATGCTGTTATTCTCTTTTTTTTTTTTTAAGGGGAAAAAAAGAAAAAGAGGGAAAAATAAATATTACTTCATTCCTAAAGTGGGTTTCAATAATGGCCGATCAATATTTTGAGTATTTAAAGTGGTTAATGTATATTTTATGTATTTAAAATGGAGACCTCTATTGTGTTTATTAGTTCTGGCTCTGAGTTCAAGTCCTGGATATCGTTATCAATTTGTTGTCTCGTTGAATCTAAATCTCATTATGTGTCTTATGTATCTGGGTGTTAAGATCTCTTATTGTTGCATTAATCCTTTTACCCTTGCATCCTTGTAGCTTTGAAATCTATTTTATTAAGTGTGAGAATTGCAACTCCTGCTTTTTATTTATTTATTTTTGCTCTCCATTTGGTTGGTGAGTTTTTTTCCATCCCCTTGTTTTGAGTCTTTGTATATCTTTAGATATATCATTAGATTTTGTGGATAATGTATATTTTGTGTGTTTAAAATGGAGAGCTCTATTGAGTTTATTTGTTCTGGATCTTAGTTCCAGTCCCGGATATCATTATCAATTTTCTGTCTCGTTGAATCTAAATCTCATTATGGGTCTTATGTATCTGGGTGTTAAGATCTCTTATTATTACATTAATCCTTTTATCCTTGTAGCTTTGAAATCTATTTTGTCAAATGTGAAAATTGCAACTCCTGCTTTTTATTTATTTATTTTTGCTCTCCATTTGGTTGGTACGTTTTTTTTTCCAACCCTTTATTTTGAGTCTATGTATATCTTTGGATATACCGTTAGATTTTGTCTGTATCTTTTGATTGGGAGATTTGGTCGATTTAAATTTAGGGTTGCTGCCGTTTGATATTAACTGGCTATTTTGTCCTTTCGTTGATAAAAATTCTTCTTTATGTTAATGCTCTTTACTTTTTGGTGTATTTTTAGAAAGGGTCATACTGGTTGTTCCTTTCTGTGTATAGTGCTTCTTTTAGAAGTTCTTGTAAGGCAGGCCTGGTGGTAATAAAATCTCTGAGTACTTGCTTGTTCCTAAAAAATTTTATTTTTCCTTCAAATGTAAAGCTTAAATTGGCAGGATATGAAATTCTGGGCTGAAAGTTCTGTTGATTAAGTATATTGAATATTGGCCCCCACTCTCTTCTAGCTTGTAGGGTTTCCGTTGAGAGATCTGCTGTAAGCCTAATAGGCTTACCTTTATGGGTAACTTGATCTTTCTCTCTGGCTGCCCTTAATATTTTCTCCTTCGTTTCGATCTTGGTAAATCTAACGATTATGTGCCTTGGGGTTGGTCTTCTTGAGGAATATCTTTGTGGTGTTCTCTGTATTGCCTGGGGTTGAATAGTGTCCTGCTTTGCTAAATTAGGAAAACTTTCCTGGATAATGTCCTGGAGAGTATTTTCCAGCTTGAATTCATTCTCTCCGTCACATTCAGGTACACCAATCAAGCGTATATTAGGTCTTTTCACATAGTCCCATATTGCTTGGAGACTTTGCTCATTCCTTTTTATCCTTTTTTCTCTATTCTTGTCTTGTTGTTTTGTTTCATTAAGTTGATCTTCGACCTCTGATACCCTTTCTTCTGCTTGATCCATTCGGCTGTTTAAGCTTGTACATATTTCACCAAGTTCTCGTGTTGTATTTTTCAACTCCATAAGTTCATTTGTATTCCTCTCTATATTGTCTATTCTTTTCAACATTTCATCTAACCGTTTTTCCAAGTTCTTAGTTTCTTTACATTGGGTTAGAACGAGTTCCTTTAACTCCCAGAAGTTTCTTATCATCCACCTTTTAAAGCCTACTTCAGATAATGAAACACAGTCCTTTTCCATCAGGGCTTGTTCCGTTACTGATGAGTCCTTTTCCATCAGGGCTTGTTCCGTTGCTGATGTGTCCTTTTCCATCAGGGCTTGTTCGGTTGCTGATGAGTCCTTTTCCATCAGGGCTTGTTCCGTTACTGATGAGTCCTTTTCCATCAGGGCTTGTTCGGTTGCTGATGAGTCCTTTTCCATCAGGGCTTGTTCCGTTGCTGATGGGTTCTGATTTTGAGTATACTCGGCCTTCTTAGGCTGTTTTTTTCCCTTCATTGTAGATGAACCGCCTTTCTAATTAGTTTTCTGAGTCGACGTCTGACTTATTGATTCCCAGTGCTGGGATCCGAGCAACCCACTGTGGCAGCCTAAATAGCAGCGGTAAGACTGATGGTGCTCTTCTGCCCGGGAATCTCTGGTCTGGCTTCCCTCTTGAGTCCGCAACAAGCGGCTCTGACTTCCCGGAGCTCCAAACTCCGGTCAGTAGGGGAAGCAGTCCTGTTGGCTCTGCATGAAGAGCTGCTGCGCCGAGACGCCGGCAAAACCGCTGCGGCGGCCACAAGAGTCTCGCTGGCGACCCGTGGGGCTCCTCCACTGGGAATCGGCTGATCGGTGAGTGACGAAAATTTGTCTAAAAGTGTGGCGTCGTCTCGTTCTCTAGGCTTTCACTGGGAGCTACAATCCTGAGCTGTTAGTGGTCGGCCATCTTGGATCCTCCCTGGATAACCCTCACTGCTGTTATTCTCCGCCCAGCTAATTTTTTGTATCTTTAGTAGAGACGGGGGTTCACCATGTTGACCAGGACGGTCTCGATCTCTTGACCTCGTGATCCACCCTCCTCGGCCTCCCAAAGTGCTGGGATTATTAGGCTTGAGCCACCGTGCCCGGCCTGAATTGCATTCTAAAAGCATCTTTCTGGCTGCCGTGTCAGAATTGGTGGGGAGAACTGGTAGGAAATATGGTTAGGGCATGAAGACGAACCTGGATATCTAGATGTGTCACTTGGGCAAGTGAATGGATGAACACGCGACAGAGAGAGAGGAGGAGGAGGGGTAGTCAGGCACTGTGGTTTATTGCAGTGATCCCAGCACGTGGGGAGGCTGAGGAGGGTGGAGGCCAGGAGTCTGAGACCAGCTTGGCCAACATGGCGAAACCCCGTCTCTACTAAAAATGCAAAAGTTAGCCAAGCGTGGTGGCACGCGCCTGTAGCCCCAGCTACTCGGGAGACTGAGGCAAGAGAATCACTTGAACCCGGGAGGCGGAGGTTGCAGTGAGCCGAGATCACGCCGCTGCACTCCAGCCTGGGAGACGAAGCAGGACTTCATCTTTAAAAAAAGGAAAGAAAGAGGGGACGGAGCCTGAACACTGGATTTACCTAAGATGAGCAAACAGGTATCTGGAGAATTGTAAGCAGGGGCCCCCTCTGCTTCCCAACCTCCCCGGCCAAGTTTCAACTAAGCGCCTTTCCCAACATGTTAGGGTTACCTCCGGGACTCCAGGGGGCGCTGCACCTGCTACGGCCCCTCTAGGCTCGCCCTGCTCAACTCACTGACAGAGGCGGCCTCTCCCGCGGTAAAGAACGTGCGCGTGCGCTCTCCGGCCGGCAGGGGGCTCGCGTGCGCAGTCGGGACCCAGAGGGGCGCGCGCGGTGGCCGGCACCGGAAGCGTGCGGTTGCCATGTAATATCCTGGCCTGGGCGGGCGCGGAGCTGCCGAGCGGGTGGCAGAGGCGGTGCCGACTGGGGCCGCGGAGGCGCGCGGAAGGTCTGCGGCGCCCGGGAGCCTGTCGCTGGCGCGGTCCGGGCGGTGGGCTCGGTGGCGGGCGGCAGCATGTCGGTGGCGGGGCTGAAGAAGCAGTTCTACAAGGCGAGCCAGGTGAGCGCAGGCCCAGGCGGGGCCCCGGGCTGTCCGGATGAGGGGTCAGGCCCGACCTGGCCCGGGAAGGGGTCCGGGGGGACGGAGGTGTGGACGTTGGCGCCTGTACCCCGCCGGGTGGGCAGAGCGGGGGACGCACGGGCACGACGAGGCGGCCCAGGCCTCGGTCGCCATGCGGGCTCCAGAAGCGGGGACGGAGCCCCTGGGGGGAGGGCAGAGGCACCCAGGGGCTGCCCAGGGGCGCGGACCGCTCCCTCCTCCTCTCCCCTGTAAAGGCGGGGTGCGGGGAGAGAAGGGGGAGAGAGGCGTCCCGAGGCCGTCGGCGCAGGACTCTTGCCGCATAACCCGGAGCCGGGGAAGAGTTGTGCGTAGAGCGGTTGTGTCCAGAATCCTCCCGACGGCCAAAGTACCGACTTGGAAAGGCGGAGGGAGAGAAGTCAGTTTCCCGTCTCTGCCCCCGGACCGCCAGCCCCTCTCCGCAGAGACGGGGACTGTCACCGACTCCGTGCGTCCCTTTCCCGAAACACGCGTGTGCCTCTCCTCGAAGAACACACGTACACTGCGGTGGCGCGCGCCGCAGAATCCCGGGCGCTGTGTGTTTCCTTAAACGTGCCTTGGAGATCACACTGGAGCGGGATTTCTACCCGGATGTCGGCACTGTTGGCATCTAGGGCTGGATTGTTCTCCGTAGTGGGGCCATCCTGGGCACTGCGGGGTGCTGAGCAGCGCCCCGGGCCTCCACCCACTCCAGGCCAGGAGCACCCTCCCCAGTCGTGATAAACAAAAATTTCTTGAGGTATCACCCTGTGTCCCCAGAGGAATAGAATCAACCCGCCCGCTCCCTCCTTTTTCCTTCCTTCCTTCCTTCCTTCTTCCTTCCTTCCCTCTTCCTTCTTCCTTCTTCCTTCCACCCACTCCAGGCCAGGAGCACCCCCCCCCCCAGTCGTGACAGACAAAAATTTCTTGCGCCGGGCGCAGTGGCTCAAGTCTGTAATCCCAGCACTTTGGGAGGTCGAGGCGTGTGGATCACGAGGTCAAGAGATCGAGACCATCCTGGTCAACATGGTGAAACCCCGTCTCTACAAAAAAAAAAAATACAAAAAATTAGCTGGGCATGGTGGCGTGTGCCTGTAATCCCAGCTACTCGGGAGGCTGAGGCAGGAGAATTGCCTGAACCCAGGAGGTGGAGGTTGCAGTGAGCCGAGATTGTGCCATTGCACTCCAGCCTGGGTAATAAGAGCGAAACTTGGTCTCAAAAAAAAAGAATTCTTGAGATGTCACCCTGTGTCCCTAGAGGAATAGAATCAACCGGCCCGCTCACTCCCTTTTCTTTTTTTCTTCCTTGCTTCCTTCCTTTTTTCCTTCCTCCCTCTCTCCCTCCCTCCCTCCCTTCCTTCCTTCCTTCCTCCCTTCCTTCCTTCCTTCCTTCCTTCCACCCACCCCAGGCCAGGAGCACCCCCCCAGTCATGAAAAACAAAAATTTCTTGAGATATCACCCTGTGTCCCCAGAGGAATAGAATCAGCATGCCTGCTCCCGTTTTTTTTTCCTCCCTCCCTCCCTCCTTCCCTCCCTCCCTCCCTCCCTCCCTCCCTCCCTGCCTCTCTGCCTCTCTCCTCCCTTCCTTCTCTTCTTTCCTCCCCTGTCCCCCAGGACTACTGCACTAGACCATACTCCATACTTCTTGGATTTTTATTTGTTTATTTATTTTTTTGAGATGGAGTTGAGCTCTGTCACCAGGCTGGAGTGCAGTGGCGAAGTCTCAGCTCACTGCAACCTCAACCTTCTGGGTTCAAGCTATTCTCCTGCCTCAAGCTTCCCCCGTAGCTGTGACTTCAGGCATTCACCACCATGCCCAACTAATTTTTGTAATTTTAGTAGAAATGGGGTTTCTCCATGTGGCCCAGGCTGGTCTTAAACTCCAGGCCTCAAGTGATCCACCCGCTTCGGCCTCACACGGTGCTGGGATTACAGGTGTGGGCGAAGGTGCCTGGTCTACTTGGATATTTTTAATGGGTACATTGTATTTCATTCCATGACGTGTACCATAATTTATTTAACCGGTTGTCAGTTGATAGGTATTTCCATTGTTTTCCGGAATTTTCTGCCACCACCATTACTACATTGAATAGCCAGTGAGTATCTTTGCTCACCGGGGGGGTTAGTTTTATAGGATGAATTTCCAGAAGTAGAATGCTGCATCCCAGCCTAAGTGCATTTGATATGGACACATGAGGGGGTTTTGGAAAGTCTAGGACCCATTGCTCGTGAATCTGGTGAAAGGTGTGGGTCCACACTCTAGAAAACTGGGCACACATAAGATTCAGTTGCAGTTTTGAATCTGAGAAGCCTCAGATTTGGCCGGGCGCAGGGGCTCATACCTGTAATCTCAGCACTTTGGGAGGCCGAGGCGGGAGGATCACTTGAAGCCAGGAGTTTGAGAGCAGCCTGGGCAACATGGCAAAACTCCATCTGTACTAACAATATAAAAATTTTGTATTTTGCCTGTAACCCCAGCTACTCAGGAGGTTGAGGCAGGAGAATCTCTTAAACCCAGGAGGCAGAGGTTGCAGTGAGCTGAGATTGTACCACTGCACTCCAGCCTGGATGACAGAGGGAGGCTCTTTCTTAACTTGCCGGGGGAGAAAAAGACAGGAAGCCTTGGATTGTTGACTCCTGTTGGTCTGTGCACTTCAGGGTGAGGTGGTATGGAATTTGTGTGGATGGACTCCATGAGAAATGAGCGATGATCTTAGGAAATGCTTGGGCCTAGCTGACAAACAGGGCTCTCTGCCCACAGTTTGGAGAGGTCCAGTGGGAGCAAAGAGAATGAGTCCCCAGTAACACCAAGCTGGTACTTTTTGCCCCTGGAAAGGAAAGAGTAATGACCCTGCCAGGCGCTGTGGCTCATACCTGTAAGTCCAGCCTTTGGAGGCTGAGGCAGAGGGATCCCTTGAGTTTAGGAGTTCAGGACCTACCTGGGTGATGTAGGGAGATCCCATCTCTACAGAATGTCAAAAGCTTAGCCAGGTGTGGTGGTGTGTACTTGCGATCCCAGCTACTTGGGAGGTTGAGACAGGAGGACCACTTGAGCCCAGAAATTCAAGGCTACAGTGTATTATAATCGCACCACTGCACTCCAGCCTGGGCAGCAAAGTGAGACCCTGTCTCAAAAAATATTAAAAAGTAACAACCCTAGTGGTTGTCTAGGGGTGTAGATACTTAGGGTCTATCTCTAGACCCCAGACGATGGTTAAACCCTGGAGAAAGATGTAATCCAGAGGAAATTTAGGATTGTTACTGAGAATAGCCTCACACCCTCGCCCCGGCAGGTTGAAATCAGATAGCCTGGCCCTGGGTTAGACTTTGCCTAGCAGGCATCAGACCCTCACCTGCTTGATTAGAGCACCATAGAGCGCTGCTCCTAGCAGGAAAGATGTCCCCAGAGGTCTTGGAGGAATTCCTGGGCCACTTGGTTCCTTGCTATAAACATAGACAGGTCTCTGGGAGCCCCCATCCCGACCCCCAGCGATCAGGGCCTGTGCCCATTTTGTCCTAAGCTGACCGTCTGTGGAGGAACGAGCCAGGCCTCTCAGGCCAGCCACCAGGACTTTGTCTCAAGGGAAGCGGGATGACCTGTATTCAGATCTGTGAATTGCATCTCGAGGACTGGAAAGCACAGTGCGGTGTTAGCTGGGCTTAGGATTGCCTGTTTCTATATTCTGAGGCCTAGTCCCAAAGCGTGATGGCCACAGCCCACCCTTGGGGCTGTCATCTTGGCCTCCTGGTCAATTCTGTGTTGTGTGGTGTTCTTAGGAGTCACCCTGGCTGCATTCTATGCTCTTCTATGATCATTGCTGTGACTTCCCTGCATCTCAGCTGTTTATCTGGACATCTCCAACTATTCGTGTTTCTTTTCTCGTCGTTAGTATAATAGCAACACCTTCACCCTCTCCTGTGCTTCAGAAGATGGTTATCTAGTGAAAAGTGGCGTCTCTCCTTATGTAGTGAGACCAGCATTAGAGTTCTCACCACGTGAACAGGCAGTATGCTGTACACCAGTAGGTCTCAGCTGGTCTTGCTTATCTGGCCTGAGGGTGAAAACATTCTCCTTTTTACACAGAAGGATTTGGGGACATTTTTCTTTGTATAAAACAGGGCCAGTTTTGTCCTCCAGGGGACATTGATAATGCCTGGGACATTTTTGTTGTCACAGCTTGGTGGGGGGCTGCTGACTGCTAGTAGGTAGAGGTCAGATATGCCACTCAGCACACTCCGGTGCCCAGGGCAGCGTCTCCCTGGTGCCCCAGATGTCAAAAGTGCCAAATTTGAGAAACCCTGCTTGGAGATTTGGGGAAAAAATGAGGATAATTATCGCAAACCAAAGCAACAGAAAAGCCCCGCTGGGCCATTCTTAAGATTTTCCTAGTTTCCTAAACACAGATAACCACATGTGTACATAGGTTATGTATTTTTTTTTTTTTTTTTTTGAGACACAGTTTCTCTCTTGTTGCCCAGGCTGAAGTGTAATAATGCAATCTCAGCTCACTGCCACCTCTGCCTCCCGGGTTCAAGCAATTCTCCTGTGTCAGCCTCCTGAGTAGCTGGTATTACAGGCATCCACCACCAAACCCAGCTAATTTTTTATATTTTTAGTAGAGATGGGTTTTCACCATGTTGGCTAGGCTGGTCTCAAACTCCTGACCTCAGGTGATCCACCCGCCTCGGCCTCCCAAAGTGCTGGGATTACAGGTGTGGGCCACCATGCTGGGCCCCATAGGTAGATATTGGCATAAAACTTGGCATCTAGACCCCAAGGTCTAGCCCACTCCCCTTCCCCAAGTCTTTAGAAAAACTCCAGTGTCTTTTACTATCTGGGCTTCTTTTTTAGAGGGGAGGTAGATCCACCATAAACATCTAATGTGTGTGTGTGCAGTTTCTCATATATATGTATTGTGACAGCCAGATGTATTAAGGCTTCACAAGGTAAGCACCTACGCTGTGATTAACCGTGTCAGTTTTGTGTGATACGGTCTCTCTGGAATTTCCTTTACATATGGTGACAAGAACAAAGACTGAAAAATGGTTCACAGAGAAACACAGAACATACATGAATCTCAAAATAACCATGTATACCGCTGTAGAGGGAACTGCTTTAGAGGAAGCACACTTCACTGCTGCCCAAATGCCACCATCCATTTATGTTCCTCAGTGTGAACTTTTTTTTTTTTTTTGAGACAGAGTCTCATTTTGTCACCAGGCTGGAGTGCAGCAGTACAATCTCGGCTCACTGCAACCTCCGCCTCCTGGGTCCAAGTGATTCCCCTGCCTTAGCCTCCCGAGTAGCTAGGACTACAGGTGTGTACCACCACACCAGCTAATTTTTTTTTTTTTTTTGTATTTTACTAGAGACTAGAGACGGGGTTTCAGTATGTTAGCCAGGCTGGACTTGAACTCCTGACCTCTTGATTCACCCACCTCAGCCTCCCAAAGTGCTGGGATTACTGGTGTGAGCCACCGCGCCATGCCCAGTGTGAACTTTTATACAAAAATACCTTAAAGCTTATAATGAAGACTCTTTATCGCTTGAGCCCGGGGAGGTCAAGTCTGTAGGGAGCCTGGATCCCACCACTGTACTTACTCTAGCCTGGAGACGGTCAGACCCTGTCTCAAGAAAAAACCATTTACAGTAATCTAGAACACGGACAGTTTCCATGGCTACACAGAGTGGTTCTACACGCTGCTTAAAGGTTTCCAGTTCTTTGCTGGCACTTGCTTCAATAGTTGATAGACACAGGCATCTGGGCTCCTGAAGGAGGCACACGCTCCCGTCAGCGCTATCAGCCAGGGACAGCGCAGACCCCTTCCTCCTCACTCCTCCGCTTGCCAATGTCAGAGACAGTTGTTTTTTTGTTTTGTTTTTTTTTTTTGAGACGGAGTCTTGCTCTGTCGCCCAGGCTGGAGTGCAGTGGCACGATCCCAGCTCACTTCAACCTCCACCTCCTGGGTTCAAGTGATTCTTCTGCCTCAGCCTTCTGAGTAGCTGGAATTACAGGCGCCCACCACCATTCCCAGCTAACTTTTTTTTGCATTTTTTGGTAGAGACAGGGTTTCACCATGTTAGCCAGGATGATCTCGATTTCCGGACCTCATGATCCGCCCGCCTCGGCCTCCCAAAGTGCTGGGATTACGGGCGTGAGCCGCCACGCCCAGCCCCAGAGACCGTTTCTATTGCACCTTTGGGAGAGGATGCTCATGGCACCAAGGGGATAGGGGCCAGGAATGATTGCCAAACATCCTACAATGCATAGGGCAGCATGGCGTTGAAATTCCCCTGCCTCAGAGAAAGAATTTTCCAGCCTTAGTGCCAGTAGAGTCGAGCTTAAGAAACCCTGCTTTAAACCAGGTCCTGGACTCCACGCCTTCTCACAGTGTCATTTTTAAATGGACAAACAGGCCAGAAGGAGGAGGAGAGACTGCTGGGAAGGATGGACTGACTTTCCAGCGGGCGAGGCCGTGTTGCTGGTTCAGTTTCTCCTCTCTCATTGTTGATACTGTAACAACCTCAGTGGGTTCCGGCCAGTTCATCTCTTGGTAAAACCTTTCAGGAACTTGTTGAAAATTGGTTTGGGCTTGAGTGGGAAGCTTGTGAGTTTTTACTTCGTGCTATGGACGGATCGAGAGCCGGAGCTGGGGAAGTTGAATCTGTCTGGAAGAAAGCAGTTAAAGAAGTAGCCATCCGCCCTGGTCCCATCTCTGTGGTCCCCTCCTTTCTGCCTGTGCGACGCCCACTCCCTCAAGAGCCTCCTGGCATCCACGCTCAGCTAGAGTTGGGGAGGTAAGGAGGGTGAGAGGACTCCGCTGGTGAGAGCCGCTCTCAGAAGTTTTCTTGGTATGCGGGGGTGTTGAGCGACGTTGTTTCCAGGCCTAAGCTGCTAACTGGCTTCCTGATAAATCTTGTGGCTGGGCTGTGTGAGATTGAGAGTGTAACTAGGGATAGAGCTGGCAGCTCCCTGGAATGCTGGCCTTTTTTTTTTAGCCTGAAAGAGGGAGAAGGTTTGAGCATTTGAATGGAAAGATTGCTTCAGACTGAGCCAGGAGGAAAACTCCCGAGCTTCACCTCCCATGCGTTGAAATCTGTCTGGTGCTTCTTAGGCCCTGGGTTCATGCCGAGGAGAAAGGAGAGGCCGGGGGCTTGGGAAAGGACCATCTGCTGGGGATCCTGGTCCCCACCTATTGGGTGGCTGTAGGTCTGAGTAAACAGTGTCTGGGAACCGGGCTGGCGTTTCAGAATGTCCGTGATACGGCTTGTTCTGACCTATCTTTATAATTTTTTGATTTTTTGTAGAGACAGTCTCACTATGTTGCTTAGGCCGGAGGCTCCTTAAACCCCACCCTTCCAGGTCTTGAATGCCTGGCCTCAAGTGATTCTCTCTCCTCGTTCTCTCAAACGGCTGGGATTACAGGTGTGAGCCACTGCACCCGGCTTATTTTGGTATTTTAGATTTTGTGTTTTCGAGATGCAGCCTTGTTCTGTCTCCCCTCCCTGGCTGGAGTGCAGTGGCGTGATCTTGGCTCACTGCAACCTCTGCCACCGAGGTTAAGTGATCCTCCTGCCTCAGCCTCCTGAGTAGCTGGGATTACAGGTGCCTGCCACCATGCCCAGCCATTTTTAGTAGAGACAGGGCTTTGCCTTGTTGGCCAGGCTGGTCTCGAACTTCTGACCTCAGGTGATCCACCCGCCTCAGCCTCCGGAAGTGCTGGTATTACAGGTATGAGCCACCGCCTGGCCCTGACCTCTTTTATAAACCCTCGCTTTGCGGGGTTACTCTTGGTTTTCCTATCACGGTGCCTGACCTGTTAAACCATGGGCGTGGAATTGTCTTAAGATCCAAAGACACGGGGTTCATAACCCCTTTGCCTTAGCACAGATAGACACCCTGTGCTGGGAGTGACAGGTGATTCAGAGACCTCTTTGTACGGGCTGACCAGGGCCAGCGTTGGCCATTCAGAGGCTGTGTCCGGGACAAGGCCTGTGAGTCCAGCAGCTGCAGGCTGACCTCCGGAAGCCTCCTCTCCCTCAGGGAGTGCTGGCAGCAGGTGTAGGAAGAGGGTTTGCTTTGTGATGTCCATGTATGATGGAAAGGGGGTTAAGTCCAGTCTTTCAGGAAGCCCCGGTGACTGAGTCCGGGAACGTGTGGCATGTGCTGGTGTGTGCCGTAAGCCACTGGAGCCGGTCGCATGGGGTCCCTGGGCCACCCCTGGAAAGGCGGGACCCACTCTCCCCACTCTGCTGCGTGCTGGCTGGGCTGTGCAGACACAGAAGTTAGACTGCCCTTCCCCTAAAGAAGCTGGAGGCTCCTTACACCCCGCTGCTCCCCGGGCCTGTCTGTGAAACCGGGCTCACCTGGCCCTCTACATAGGGTTGGCCGTTGGTGGCTGTGGGACACGTTGAAACCAAGCAGCATCCTGCGTTTTCCCATTCTTAAACCAGGACCCAAGGGGTCGTCAGACTCCAGTTTCCGCCACCCGCGACTGCTGTACATTAGGCCCCGGAAATCAAGCCAAGGGCTGAAGGTTCGGCCAAAAGCCCGTCTCTGACTCAGACCCCCACGTTCACCAAAGACCAGCTGGGGCTCCGTGGATGCCGACTGCCTGCCTGCTCATCTGGGTGTGTGTTACAGCCCAGCCCTGCAGTACTTAATTATATTCCGGTGCCCCAATAACAGCCTATGAGGTGAGGCATCTCACCCCACTCAGTTGAAGAAATCAAGGGCTGGCACATTTTGAGACCCCAAACCTATCAAGCACACAGAGAACATGACACTGTTCCCCGTGCCCCTGGCTGTCCAGGGTTGGCCGCAGTCGAGTGTGCTGTCTGCCCGAGGCCTGAGCTGGCCGCTGGGCCCCTCAGGGGTCCCTGTGTCTGTTGTATTTTTTCCTCAGAGGAGAAACCTGGGGGTTGAGGCCTATCCCGCTCAGAGCTGCTGGTGTCTCTGTGTCCAGTGGACTTTGATCCAGGCACCTAGGGTTCAGCCAAGCCTTCGTGGCTGCCTCAGCCCTTTTCCTCCTCTGCGATTGTCCCCAGTGTTTTGAAACTGATGTGATCTGGGGAAACGTGTTTAATTTGGAGCTGGCTGCCGGTAGGATTTGGGAGGCAGCCTCAGACAGAGCTTGAAAGAGGAAGGCGGAGCGGCCCTCGTGTCTGCTTTCCAAGCCCCTGAGGTCTCTAAGTGCTGGCGGGGTTGGATGGGGAAGCATTTCAGGCTGCCCGGCCTTTTTGTTTGGGGGGTGGGGTGGGGTGTCCCTGGATGCCTTGCAGCCTGCCTGGAGCTCTCCAGCTCTAATGGCTTTTTAATGTGTGAGCTGAAGGGTCCGGGGCGGACTCTTCTGCTTCTTTTTCAAAACTGCCCCTGGAAAGCAGGATGGAAGAATGTGGCAGCCAGGCTTCCCTCTCCCTGTCCTGTCTGACTCTTCTCCTTCCTCTCTCTCTCTCCTCACTCTTCCCCCGTCTTTCTGTGTCTCTCCTTTCTTCTGCCCTTTCCCCTCTTTCTCTCTCCTCTCCCCGCCTCCTTCCTGTCTCTCTCGCGCCCCCCCCCCCCGTCTTTTGCAGGGATGGATTTGGCAAGCCCTTTTCCTGAGCACTGCAGCTTGGGTACGGTTCTGCTCATTTCCTGTTGAGCAGTACCCAGGGCTCCCTGAACTCAGGCCCCAGGAGGACGGCCCTATCTTTCTTTTCCTCTCTGCTCCTAGAGAAACCTGCTGACCAGGCCCTGAGAGCAGAGTCACGGGGAGACTTCCTCACCACAGCAGGAAAATAGCTGGACCGTTTCCCCCGCCGGACCTGACTCAGCAGTGGTCCGCTGGCCGCCTGGGAGAGGGCTCCTGCCTGGCGCAGGGAGACGAAGCACCCTTTGCGGAGGGTCATGTCTCATGTGACGAAGCCTGTGGGGGGCGGTGGTTATGGTACTCAGCATCCAGACGGCATCGAGGGCATGGGGAGTGGGCTGACTCCCCTCCGCAGGCCGGGAACATGCATCTCCTGTGCCCTGACTTCGGAGTGGTCAGATTCCCGCAGGGAGGCAGGCAGATGGGGGCGATTATTTCGTTGCCTTTGCTACTGGATTATGAGCCATTGCGGCCAGAGCCAGGCATTTCTGCTCTTTGCTGCATCCCCAGGGTTTGCTTTAGTGTCTGGCCTACCCTGGGGAGCCGGGGCGGCCATCCGCTGGGGTGGCCGCCCGTTGGGTCTGTGTGAGCACGCCCTAGAGGAAGAGAAGCACGGCCCCACCTGGCTTGGGCTACAGTTCAAGCTCTCTCAGGAGGCTTTCAGGAGCTTCTGGAGCCCCCGCCTTGGCCCCAGCTTTAAATGCTACTCTTCCCCTGCATGGGGGGACTCACATAGCTCTGTCCTGCGTGGGTCCCTGTGCTCTCCTGCCTCCTGTTTATGTCGCCGGCCTCTCCTACCTCCCGACCCGGCTCCATTCTCTCCCCACTTCTTGTTTGTGCTGTAACATGTGTTTCTATCTCCCCTCATCCTTGGCATCTTCCAGGGCCACATGTGGGAAGTGAGTTCTCAGCCCCTGGAGCATCTGGCCCCGTGGTCCCCCACCGACACGCTGGTCCTTGTGCGAGCTACTCTACTCTTCTCCCATCAGACGGCCGGGCTGTGCTTGGGCATCTGTGACAGGCCATGGCCTGCTGGGCACTGGCCTGCTGACAAGGTCATCAGAGATGCACCCGGCAGAGGCTGAGTTAGGGGGCTCGTTCTCAGAGTGGGGGGGCTGTCCTCTACAGGGGCCCTGCATTGTTCCTGGTGGTGCCTCAGCAGCAGCCCCTGGTCCCCCGGCCAGGCATCTGACCAGGCCGTGTCAGAGCACCAGGGAACCAGGTAAGGCCTTGGAGAACTCGGTTGGGAACAGGTCCGACTGGTCTGAAGAGCCAACAGCTTAGAGAGTGTTTCATGTGGTTTAGGGTGTGTGTCCAGCTCCAGGGCTGCAGCTGAGAGTCACCTGAACTTGGCCGGGTCAGAGGGGCCTGAGCGTGTCACAGGTGGTCTCTGACCTGGAGCCTGCACGAGCAGGGTCCTGAGGAAGCCGAGCGCGGGCCCCTGCTTTCCCCCTTGATTGAGGCCAGGCCCAAATGCACCTGTTGCTGCCTAGCCGGGCCAGTCTGCTCAGAGTTGGTGGTTCCCTGGCTTGAATTTGTTCCCAAACCAGACCACTCCTGGCCTCCAGAAACCAGCTCTCCAGCCCTATTGGCCATCCTTAGGGCTTTCGCTGTGGCTGGGCCTGGCCACCTGTCCTGCACTCCCTCGCTGGCCTCGCCCAGGTGCTATGGTGACTTCCCTCTGATTGCCACAGTCCACAGTCGGCCCTGCGGCTCCTCCCACTTCTTCCTGTGGACGCCCCCTTCTGTCTTGGAGTCTGCGACGCATCCTGTGCATCCGCCGCCTCTCTCGGTATCTGCCTTCCAAGCCTGGGTCCCCTTTCCCCGCGTTCGGGCAGCCAGCAGCGGTGACGCCCTGAAGCAGCAGGCAGGTTCTCAGCTGCCGCCTGTCCTTCAGCTCGAAGTCTGACTGATTGAGCCTCTTTCCTCTTAAATTGGCTCACTTTGGAAACTTACTTTAGAAGGATTGTGGTACTTTCCTTGCTGTCACTAGCAGTAGTTGGAATAGGCCGGACATGGTGGCTCACGCTTACAGTCTCAGCACTTGGGAGGCCGAGGCGGGTGGATCATGAGGTCAGGAGTTTGAGACCAGCCTGGCCCACGTGGTGAAACCCCGTCTCTACTAAAAATACAAAAATTAGCCTGGTGTGCTGTGCGCATCCGTAGTCTCAGCTACTTGGGAGGCTGAGGCAGGAGAATCGCTTGAACCCAGGAGACCGAGGTTGCAGTGAGCCGACATAGCACCACTGCACTCTATTTCAAACAAAAAAACCCAAACAAACAAAAAACCCAGGAAACCTGGATTTACTGGAATTACAAATACAACAGCAACAAAACAATGGAATAAAATCTTCCTGGCTACCCCACCCTTGAGCCTGAGGTGTGTGCCCTTATGAAAGAGCTGTTCAGGCTGGGCGCGGTGGTTCACACACCTGTAATCCCAGCGCTCGGGAGGCTGAGGCAGGAGGGTCGCTTTAGCCCGGGTGTTCAGGCCCAGTTGGGCAACATGATACCTTGTCTGTACAGAAAATGAAATTAGCCAGTCATAGTGGTGCATGTCTATAGCCCCAGCTACTTGGGAGGCTGAGGTGGGAGGATCACTTGAGTCCAGGAATTCGAGGCTGCTGTGAGCTGTGATCATGCCACTGCCTTTCAGCCTGGGCAACAAAGCAAGACCCTGCCTAAAAAAGAAAAACAGAAAGGTCTATACTTCAGCAGTGCCCACCTGGAAGTTCCTCTTTGTCAGAATCAGAAACACGGAAGGAGAATTGCAGCAGAGGTTTCTCGCCACATGATTCGTGTGCCTTGTGCCTGTGTTAGCTGCCACACCATAGGACACGTGGCCCCGTGGAAGGCACGTTGCCTTTTTCCCTGAGGCCTGCCGCCATGCTGTGTGCATCCTCGTCTCTCTCATAGGACTGGGGGACCCTTCGCGCTAGGATTCAGGCTCAGGAGCAAGGGCTGATGGGCTGTAACGGCCAGGTCCTGAGTGCCTACCGGGAGCAAGGCATGGAGGCTGGAGACCCTGCACTCAGCACTCTCCGGGAGTTACACTCCCAAACATGGCTGGGCACGGTGCCTCACATCTGTAGGGAGGCAGAGGTGGGAGGAGAGCTTGAGTCTGGGACTCTGAGACCTGCCTGGGCAGTGTAGTAAGACCCTGTTATCAAAAAAAAAAAAGTAAAGAAATTAAAAACGAAAAAAGATGAGTTACCAGACGTCACCTTAGCAGTGAGGCAGATGCCTTCCTCCAGCACGCCCCACCCAGCCCAGCGCGCTGGGAGCAGAACTGCTGACTGATGATTTTGTGGCTGTCGTTTCGGGACTCTGCCTCAGCACTAAGCAGAGGCTCTTATTCTCAGGAAGCCCCTGCGGAAGGAAGCTCTGGGAACTCTCTGCCCCCAACCACCCGCAACCATCCCTTGCCGCCCGCCTCCGTGGGTTGAGGCCCCACGACTGACTCAGGCAGGCATCCATCAGCCTAACAGCCTCACTCATCAGAGTCCCAATTGTTTGAAATGGATGGGCAGCCCCAGCCCTTCAAGGCCAGCCTTTGTGACTCAGAGAGGGCAGCCTAGGGACCTGGGATGGAATTTCTCCATCTCCTGACCCTCGCCCACCCCAGCATAGGGTCCCCTTCATCTCCTCTCCTGAGGCCTCTGACTGTTTTCTCTGAGGTTGGGAATCGTTGCGATTATTTTAGGAAGAAAGAGCAGCCCCAGAACTGCAGAGTGAGTCTCTTGCTTCTTGCTCACTCTCGTCAAGTCAGCATTCCACCCACGAGGAGCCTTGGAGCTCCCAGACCCCCGGCCGAGTGCAGCGTGGGTGTCTGGGAGGTATGTGCTGCCCACCGCAGGGGCTGGCTCAGAGGCTGCTGGAATGCTGCGCTGGGGGTCGTTTTGCTCCCCAGCTTTTACATTTTTATTTCATACTTGCAGAGAGTCATGTGTCTTTTTCCAGTGCTCTGCCATGCCCAGTCTTCCCACAGCAACCTCCCCGGCCAGCACCAGAGAATCCTGCACCTGCCAGCAGGAGGCACCAGTGGGGCCCTCTGTTGAGTGGGGTCCCTGTGGCACCTCTAGACTGGCTGGGGGATCCGTAGTGGGCAGCTGCACAGCCAGGGACGGTCTCTGGGGCCTGGAAGGAAGGGGTGCTACTGGGAGGGAGGGCAGGAGAAGGACCTTCGGTCTACCTGCCACAGTCATGTTTCTGGAGCCCAGGAGTCCCCTTGGCTGTCGGAGGAGCTGGGGGAGTAGCCTCCTTCCAGGAGGGGTTGCCTCTTACTGGGTTCAGAACATGTTCCCCGGGCCGATGTGTGGCACAGGGCACATCCCTTGTTCAGGCACCTCATGAAGGTTGTATCATAAAGGGTTTCAGATACAGAAAGACACCTAAGAATGACCAGCTGATGACCAGGTGCACCCCACCCCACCCCACCCAGATACCAGAGCAGGACAGACACACCTTCACTGAGTGTGGGTTCACGCTGACGTGTGCGGTGTTGCGCCGTCTACACCTCCTGTCGACAGGATCACATGGTTTCTTGTGCTCTACTTTTTTTTTTTTTTCCAGACGGAGTCTCGCTCTGTCACAGTGGCACGATCTCAGCTCACTGCAGCCTCCACCTCCTGTGCTCAAGCCGTTCTTCTGCCTCAGCCTCCCGCGTAGCTGGGATTATAGGCACATGCCACCATGCCCAGCTAATTTTTGTATTTTTAGTAGAGACGGAGTTTCACTGTTTTGGTCAGGCTGGTCTCAAACTACTGACCTTGTGATCTGCCTGCCTTAGCCCCCCAAAGTGCTGGGATTACAGATGTGACCTTTTTTTTTTTTTTTGAGCTGGAGTTTCTTATCACCTAGGCTGGAGTGCAATGGTGCGATCTTGGCTCACTGCAGCCTCCGCCTCCTGGGTTCAAGCAATTCTCCTGTCTCAGCCTCCTGAGTAGCTGGGATTACAGGCGTTTGCCACCACACCTGGTTAATTTTCATATTTTTAGTAGAGATAGAGTTTCACCATGTTGTCTGGGCTCGTCTGGAACTCCTGACCTGAGGTCCTCCGCCTGCCTTGGCCTTCCAAAGTGCTGAGATTACAGGCATGAGCCACCACGCCTGGTCACTTGTACCCTACTTTTTAGGCGGAACACTGCTTGGCTTGTGAGTACTGGTTCACACTGACACAAGGCTCTGCTTGCGTCCACAGCTGCGTGGCTTTCCCCCATGATTATTCCACAGCGTGGCTATCTGTTCTCCAGCCCGTGGGCATTCAGTCTCAAGTTTCTGCGTTTTCACAGACCATGACAGTGAGCAATCCCCTGCGGCACGTGTCCGAGAGCCTTTCCAGGGCGGTACTTTGCTTAATATGACCATCTACTGTAGTGCTTGTTGACTTTGCCCTGAATAGCCACTGCCAGCCTGGGCAACACAGTGAGACCCCGTCTTAAAAAAAATAAAAGAAAAATAGCCACGTAGGTTTCCAGTGGTCCTAGCCTGGAAGAAACAGTGTGCAATTCGCACGGCCGAAAGCCCTGGACCCGAGGCTGGCAGTATCACGTGTTGCGCACTTGTAAAGTGTGTTATTTCAGTTTTCCTCTGCGGCTGTATGTGCCTGGGGGCTTCGACCCGGAAGCCCAGCGGGTGGGGAGGAGGCTCCCAGCTTAGGGTTAGCTCTGTGTGTTCTGGAGCCGGGTGACCGGGGGCCTCCTGCACCGTGAGCTCTGAGGACTTCGCTTCTGCTGGGTGTCCTCACAGACGTAGCTTCCCCACCAGCCTGGAGATTCCTCCAGAGCCGTGTTTTCAGTTTTGCTGTGCGCAGTGAGGCCGTGCTGGCAGACGGCATGTAGCACCCAGCCTAGTCACCGAGGGCAGCTCAGGCCAGCATGCACGACCCGGCCCCATTCCTCACGCGCTCCCTGTGCAGATTCACCTACTTGCTAACCTTGATTTGCAGCTCCAAATCATTCCTTTTGCAGTCGTTTGCAGACAGGTACAGAGAAGCAAAAAATTTGTCACCTGGCACATACGTTCCTAACCGAGGTCAAACAAAGCGACGCTACCTTCTCCCGGCTCCCGACCCCACTGCTGCAAACCGGCATTGGTTTGCGGGCTTTTGATTGGCGCCATGTTTCTCTCATCTTTGTGGATTTTGTTGGTGGTCTCGCTGCTGAGAACGGCCCCCGCATCATGCAACAGCACTGTCTCATGTTCCTCAGTGCTGGGAGGCTGGGATGAGCCTCACGGAGAAACCACGTGTGAGAGCAGCTTTGCTCAGGCAGGAGCGATGCGCTGTGTCCATGAGTTCAATGTGGGTGAGTCACAACAGAGATGAACTAAGGAAGTGCGTAAAGGCCACGCCCAGCGGCTCACGCCTGTCACCTGCGCTTTGAGAGGCCGAGGCAGGAGGATCACCGGAGCCTGGGAGTTTGAGACCAGCATGGGCAACAAAGTGAAACCCCATCTCTACAAAAATACAAAAAAAGAACATTAGCTGGGTGTGGTGATGCATGTCTGTAGTCCCAACTACCCGGGAGACTGAGGCAGCAGGATCCTTTGAGCCTGGGAGGCCAAGGCTGCAGTAGGCTGTGATCACGCCGCTGTACTCCAGCCTGGGCAACAGAGCAAGACCTTGTCTCAAAAAAAAATAGCCAGGCGTAGTGGCTCACGCCTGTCATCCCAGTACTTTGGGAGGCTAAGGCTGGTGGATCACTTGATGTCAGGAGTTCAAGACCAGCCTGGCCAACATGGTGAAACCCGTCTCTACTAAAAATATGAAATTAGCTAGGTGTGGTGATGTGCACTTGTAATCCCGATGACGCGGAGGCTGAGGCTGGAGAATCACTTGAACCTGGGAGGCGGAGGTTGCAGTCAGACAAGATTGCGCCACTTTCTACTGTCCTCCAGCCTGGGTGACAGAGTAAGACTCTCAAAAAAGAAAGAAAGAAAGACCGTTCCCTTACGTAGCAAAGGAGACTTTGCAGATGGAATGAAGGATACGAACCTGGAGGTGGGAGATTGTCCTGGCTTATCCTCGAGGGCCCAGTCTCATCAGAAGGCAGAGCGCCGTCCCCCGCTGTGGTCAGAGGGAGCTGAGACAATCGGAGAGAGAACAGAGGTAGCTGCTGAGGGGCCGGCGCCTGCTAGCTCTGACAGTGGAGGAGGGGGCCGTGAGCCAGTGGATGTGCGTGGCTTCTGGATGCTGGAAAAGGCAGGAAAGCCCTAGAACCCCCAGAAAAGAGTGCAGCTTGCAGTGAGCATCTCGATCTTAGCCCGCTGAGATCTCTGTCAGGGTCTGACCTAGTGAAGACTTTGTGTTGCTTTAATGTATCGTTGAAGACGGGTGTGTGGCTATAAGTCACTAGGTTTGTGGCAATTTGTTATGGTGGCAACAAGAAACTCACAGAGGTCCACACTGTCTAAAGTCTTGTCGTCATTATGGTTTTCAGATAGGCAGCGGGAAGACAGAGAGGGGCAGGGGGAAGACAGAGGGGCAGGGGGAAGACAGGGCAGGGGGGAGACAGGGGGGCGGGGGAAGACAGGGGGGGCAGGGGAAGACGGGCAGGGGGAAGATGGTGGTAGGAGGGAGACAGAGGGGCAGGGGGAAGACGGGGGCAAGGGGAGACAGAGGCGTGGGGGAAGACAGAAGGGCAGGGGAAGACGGGGGCAGTGGGGAAACAGGCAAGGGGGAGACAGTGGCAGGAGGGAGATAGAAGCAGCAGGGAGACAGAGGCAGCGGGGAGACAGAGAGGGGCAGGGGGGAGACAGAGACAGGGAAGGAGACAGGAAGGGGAGAGACGGAGGGAGCGGGGAGGCAGAGAGAGGCAGTGGGGAGACAGAGTCAGTGGGGAGATGGCGGGGCCGGCCGGGAGGAGACAGAAGCAGTGGGGGACAGGGGCAAGGAGGAGACAGAGGTGGGGGATACAGGCAGGGAGGAGACGGGCAGCGGGGAGACAGGCGGAGACAGAGGCAGGGGAGGAGACGGAGGGGCAGGGGGGAGGCAAGGGCAGGGGGGAGACAGAGAGGGGCAGTGGGGAGACAGAGTTGTTTTGTCCTGTGTTAGCTCTTATCCCTGAAATCAACAAGAAAATTGGACCGATTGACTTTGCCAGGTTGGCTTCAGGTGCCCTGCAAAGAGCTGGGTTCCATCCAGCCTTCCTTGGTTGTGATGCTCCGTAGAACTAATCTTCAACTCCACAGAAGTTGTACCCTGGTCTCTGGATTCCCACCTTGGTGACTTAAAAGCTAGTGGACTAACAGAAAATTTGGTCCCCGGCCGGGTGCGATGGCTCATGCCTGTAATCCCAGTACTTTGGGAGGCTGAGGTGGGCGGATCACAAAGTCAAGAGATAGAGACCATCCTGGCCAACGTGGTGAAACCCCGTCTCTACTAAAAACACGAAAAATTGGCCAGGCGTGGTGGTGCTCACCTGTAGTCCCAGCTACTTGGGAGGCTGAGGCAGGAGAATTGCTTGAACCCGGGAGATGGAGGTTGCAGTGAGCTGAGATTGAGCCACTGTACTCCAGCCTGGCAACAGAGTGACACTCCATCTCAAAAGAAAAGAAAAGAAAAGAAACGTTGATTGCCATTATTTAACTTGGATTTTGAAAACTGGTCACTCATTCAGGTTTTCACAGAACATACTATTGTTCTTCTAAGCCCGAGGGTGCCATGCACCCCGGAGACACCAGTGCAGATCGTGTTCAGAACCGCCGACTGTCCTGCAGACCATTGACAGTTCCTGAGTTTGGCAGCGTGTTTTTTCTGATCCAGGAGCCTGGAGCCCACACCAGATGCCTGCCCATGACGCCCTCCCACATCTTCAAAACGGGCACTTCTGAGCCTTGTCCTGGGCTGCTGTTTCCAGGCCAGCCTCCCTGCTACAGGCCCTGTGTCTCCCTTCCTGCCTTTTCTCATGCCGTGCCTATCTCTCCTGCATGTGCCCAGATCCCACCCATCCTTCAAAGCCCCGTCCACGGCTGCCTCCTTTGTTGCTCGCCCTGGCTCACTCCCTGCAGGCCTCCTATTTTAGGGCTCTCTTCCTGTGTGTGTGTGAGCCTGCGTTATGTGTCTCTCTTTTTCCACTGTACCTGGCCCAGATAAATATTCACTGAACTTGACTGGGACGTCAGTGATGGCTCCAGACCAGGGCTCTGAAGGATGGGTAGAATTTGGATGTAGAAAGAAGTGAGGAAAGGAGCGAGCATTTCCGGTGCAGGGAGAGAGCCCTGCCCTGGCATCCCCTAGGCGGGTGTTGGAGGGAGGGCCCCAGCAGCGTGGGTCTGCCCTGCCCTATCCTTCCCCTCCATCCTGAGCCCAGGCACCATCCTTGGGACCAGTCC